GTTTCCATTTTCGTGTTTTGGACTATTTTGCAAAATGATGATTTTTCACAAATGGGAAATGAAATTTGGAAAATTCTTTTTGTAACATGTTTGTTTTCATGTTTATATACATTTCCCAAAGTTTCATTATTTTTGGACTTCATTTGTTATTTTTAACATATTTTCTAAAGTATCAAAATCAGCTTCCAAAACCAGTTTTTTGAATATGTCAGTTTTCGGTCGACCGAACCCTCATATTTGTGAATGTTATTTTCATTCTCTGTAGAAGTAGATAAACTATATGTTTCATTTTTTTTACTGTTGCAAGTGTTTGACTTCAAATTGTTGGAAATCAATGGAAATGTGAAAACAAGTTGTTCCAAGTCATGGTTCTCTATAGACCAGTGTTTGACTTACAAGTATCTCATACAAATAATAATTAAGCCCTTTCTCATATTTGTGAATGTTATTTTCATTCTCTGTAGAAGTAGATAAACTATATGTTTCATTTTTTTTACTGTTGCAAGTGTTTGACTTCAAATTGTTGGAAATCAATGGAAATGTGAAAACAAGTTGTTCCAAGTCATGGTTCTCTATAGACCAGTGTTTGACTTACAAGTATCTCATACAAATAATAATTAAGCCCTTTCTCATATTTGTGAATGTTATTTTCATTCTCTGTAGAAGTAGATAAACTATATGTTTCATTTTTTTTACTGTTGCAAGTGTTTGACTTCAAATTGTTGGAAATCAATGGAAATGTGAAAACAAGTTGTTCCAAGTCATGGTTCTCTATAGACCAGTGTTTGACTTACAAGTATCTCATACAAATAATAATTAAGCCCTTTCTCATATTTGTGAATGTTATTTTCATTCTCTGTAGAAGTAGATAAACTATATGTTTCATTTTTTTTACTGTTGCAAGTGTTTGACTTCAAATTGTTGGAAATCAATGGAAATGTGAAAACAAGTTGTTCCAAGTCATGGTTCTCTATAGACCAGTGTTTGACTTACAAGTATCTCATACAAATAATAATTAAGCCCTTTCTCATATTTGTGAATGTTATTTTCATTCTCTGTAGAAGTAGATAAACTATATGTTTCATTTTTTTTACTGTTGCAAGTGTTTGACTTCAAATTGTTGGAAATCAATGGAAATGTGAAAACAAGTTGTTCCAAGTCATGGTTCTCTATAGACCAGTGTTTGACTTACAAGTATCTCATACAAATAATAATTAAGCCCTTTCTCATATTTGTGAATGTTATTTTCATTCTCTGTAGAAGTAGATAAACTATATGTTTCATTTTTTTTACTGTTGCAAGTGTTTGACTTCAAATTGTTGGAAATCAATGGAAATGTGAAAACAAGTTGTTCCAAGTCATGGTTCTCTATAGACCAGTGTTTGACTTACAAGTATCTCATACAAATAATAATTAAGCCCTTTCTCATATTTGTGAATGTTATTTTCATTCTCTGTAGAAGTAGATAAACTATATGTTTCATTTTTTTTACTGTTGCAAGTGTTTGACTTCAAATTGTTGGAAATCAATGGAAATGTGAAAACAAGTTGTTCCAAGTCATGGTTCTCTATAGACCAGTGTTTGACTTACAAGTATCTCATACAAATAATAATTAAGCCCTTTCTCATATTTGTGAATGTTATTTTCATTCTCTGTAGAAGTAGATAAACTATATGTTTCATTTTTTTTACTGTTGCAAGTGTTTGACTTCAAATTGTTGGAAATCAATGGAAATGTGAAAACAAGTTGTTCCAAGTCATGGTTCTCTATAGACCAGTGTTTGACTTACAAGTATCTCATACAAATAATAATTAAGCCCTTTCTCATATTTGTGAATGTTATTTTCATTCTCTGTAGAAGTAGATAAACTATATGTTTCTTTTTTATTAATGATAGATGACATGCAACCAAAATTAGATGAGCTTTCCGAGGATATCATGCAATTAGATATTGGAGAATGTATGCCAACACAAGTATGAATCTCTCATACTGTGATGCGGTAGCTGAAGGTAAGAACTTGTTTCACTAAATGTGTTTAGCTTTTTTTTCCCTCATCCAATGCACACATTGTTTCGTTAAAGAAAACCTGACACTCAACATTGCTGCTGTATCCTGTACTCGGTTTGTAATCATTAAGCTTACTTCAACTTTCTCAACTGGTTTTAAATTTGAGTATCATGAATGCAAGACTAAACTACCTTTGTCAAATCATTTTAAATTTGTCAAATCATTTTATTGTTCTAATCTAAATATAATTAAGCCCTTTCTCGTTTGTTGACAGAGAAGCAGCTAGGGGGTGACCTTCAAATGCATGAGAGATGATGTCATTACTTATAAACATGGTTGTTGCTGCTAAGCAGCTGCGCAAGGAGTTGAGCAGTGCCAAATGAACAAATAGAGAGAGAAATGTTTATTTTGTTGCCTATTTTAATAACTTGGGATTCTGTTATGTTGATTGGTATTTTAGATTTGTTGAGGGAAGTGTAAGAGGATATTTAGAGTGAGTACTTGTTTTCATTGAGAGTAAGCTAAGTTTCTGTAGGCATATATGCTTTGATTGTTTTTTTATTTAGGTAATGTATGGATGCTAGTGATGATTATATAGAGAGCTATGATTGTTTTTTTTTATTTAGGTAATGTATGGATGCTAGTGATGCTTTTTAATGTACGGATGCTAGTGGTAATGTATGGTTTTGAGCATTACTGAAATTTTTATATAGAGAGCTCTAATTGTTTTTTATATTTAGGTAATGTATGGATGCTAGTGGTTGGAAAATTTGAACAATATATGTCCATTGTTAGAAGTTTGATAAACGGGTTATTCGGGTTATATGGGTCGGGTCGGGTAACCCGTTTAATAAACGGGTCGGACCACATTGACCCATTTATTAAACGGGTCGGGTCGGGTCACACTTATATGGGTCGGGTCAAATTTTATATGGGTCGGGTCGGGTCGGGTCGACCCGTTTGCCACCCCTAACCGCACCGGTCGACCGATCATTTGATCTTTCATCACTGGGCGACAGAGAGTTGGTCGGTCGACCGGTCCGGTCGACCGAA